CTGCCCTGCGGCTCCCGGGCTCTCGGGGTGGATTCTACGGCCTCGTTCTCCTTCCAACCTCGGCCTCCTCGCCTCCTCGCCTCCTCGCCTCCTCGCCTCGCTCTAGGAGACCCGCACCCTCCCACACGCCAGCTCTGCCCGCTGCCCTTCCGCTCCCGACACCGCGGGGACACATTTCCCCTTCGGCGTGGGAGGTCCGAGTCGTCCTGCTCTTTAACGCCTTTCCCTAGAGCCCCGGGTCCGACACCGCGGGGACACATTTCCCCTTCGGCGTGAGAGGTCCAAGTCGTCCTGCTCTTTATCGCCTTTCCCTAGAGGCCCGGGTCCGACACCGCCCGAGCTGGGTCTCCAGGCTCAGCGGCAGCGGCGTTTGGGCCTCACCAGCCGCTCTCAGGCTCCACCAACCACAGCCCACAGGTCCCAAGCCACACACAGCCCGCACGTCACACGCCACACACAGCCCGCACGTCACACGCCACACACAGCCCGCAGGTTACACACCACACACAGCCTGCAGGTTACACGCCACACACAGCCCGCAGGTCACATGCCAAGCACAGCCCGCAGGTCACACGCCACACACAGCCCGCAGGTCACACGCCACACACAGCCTGCAGGTTACATACCAAGCACAGCCCGCAGGTCACACGCCAAGCACAGCCCGCAGGTCACACGCCACACACAGCCTGCAGGTTACATACCAAGCACAGCCCGCAGGTCACACGCCAAGCACAGCCCGCAGGTCCCACGCCACACACAGCCCGCAGGTCACACGCCACACACAGCCTGCAGGTTACATGCCAAGCACAGCCCGCAGGTCACACGCCAAGCACAGCCCGCAGGTCCCACGCCACACACAGCCCGCACGTCACATGCCACACACAGCCCGCAGGTTACACACCACACACAGCCTGCAGGTTACACGCCACACACAGCCCGCAGGTCACACGCCAAGCACAGCCTGCAGGTCACACGCCACACACCGCCCGCGGGTCACACGCCACACAGAGCCTGCAGGTTACATGCCAAGCACAGCCCGCAGGTCACACGCCAAGCACAGCCCGCAGGTTACATACCAAGCACAGCCCACAGGTCACACGCCAATCACAGCCCGCAGGTCACATACCAAGCACAGCCTGCAGGTTACATACCAAGCACAGCCCGCAGGTTACATACCAATCACAGCCTGCAGGTTACATACCAATCACAGCCTGCAGGTCACACGCCAAGCACAGCCCGCAGGTCACATACCAAGCACAGCCTGCAGGTTACATACCAAGCACAGCCTGCAGGTCACATACCAAGCACAGCCTGCAGGTTACATACCAAGCACAGCCCGCAGGTTACATACCAAGCACAGCCCGCAGGTTACATACCAAGCACAGCCCGCAGGTTACATACCAAGCACAGCCCGCAGGTTACATACCAAGCACAGCCTGCAGGTTACATACCAAGCACAGCCTGCAGGTTACATACCAAGCACAGCCCGCAGGTCACACGCCAAGCACAGCCCGCAGGTCACATACCAAGCACAGCCCGCAGGTTACATACCAAGCACAGCCCGCAGGTTACATACCAAGCACAGCCCGCAGGTTACATACCAAGCACAGCCCGCAGGTTACATACCAAGCACAGCCCGCAGGTTACATACCAAGCACAGCCCGCAGGTTACATACCAAGCACAGCCCGCAGGTTACATACCAAGCACAGCCCGCAGGTTACATACCAAGCACAGCCTGCAGGTTACATACCAAGCACAGCCCGCAGGTTACATACCAAGCACAGCCTGCAGGTTACATACCAAGCACAGCCCGCAGGTTACATACCAAGCACAGCCTGCAGGTTACATACCAAGCACAGCCCGCAGGTTACATACCAAGCACAGCCTGCAGGTTACATACCAAGCACAGCCTGCAGGTTACATACCAAGCACAGCCTACAGGTTACATACCAAGCACAGCCCGCAGGTTACATACCAAGCACAGCCCGCAGGTCACACGCCAAGCACAGCCCGCAGGTCACATACCAAGCACAGCCTGCAGGTTACATACCAAGCACAGCCCGTAGGTTACATACCAAGCACAGCCTGCAGGTTACATACCAAGCACAGCCTGCAGGTTACATACCAAGCACAGCCTGCAGGTCACACGCCAAGCACAGCCCGCAGGTCACATGCCCAGCACAGCCCGCAGGTTACATACCAAGCACAGCCTGCAGGTTACATACCAAGCACAGCCTGCAGGTCACATACCAAGCACAGCCTGCAGGTTACATACCAAGCACAGCCTACAGGTTACATACCAAGCACAGCCTGCAGGTCACATACCAAGCACAGCCTGCAGGTTACATACCAAGCACAGCCTGCAGGTTACATACCAAGCACAGCCTGCGGGTCCCACGTCACACACAGCCCGCAGGTCACCAAGAGCCCAGAGAGATTCCATCCCGTGGAAGGTGTGGGCTGCTGCCTGCACAGGGGAGGAGCCGGGGGCCTGTAGCCGCATGAGCTGGGAACACATCCCCTGGGGGCGGGAAACACAGGGCGGGGCCTGCCAGGTGCCCATCTCCCTGGGACTTGCTCTCAGAGGAGAAATGGCAGAGAAGCAGAGCTCCTCCCGCTCGCAGCGGACCAGGGTGCGAGAAGCCCTGCGGCTTTGTCACCCGAGCAGCACGGGCTCCGAAGGCTCCGCGATTACTGACGGCGACAGAGACGCTTTAAGCGCCCTCGAATCTGAGCTGATGCTCCCCATCCAGGCGCGGGCTCCCTAACTTATTGGCACAACACAACGCCCACATCCAGGCAGCCTTCTCGGGCAGGGCCCCCCAACCGGGGCTCAGGGCTACGGGTGTTTGAGGGGTCGGGGACGTGCACATAGAACTGGTTTGAGAGCCAGTTCTCTGCCCAGAGTCAGTGACCGCAAGAGCGCCATCAGCTCTCCCCGGAGCGAGCCCGGGTGTCCAACGTACACAGAAGCTGAAGGGACACACTCACCTACCGCACGTGCTTTTTAAAAAGAGCCACACAGGGACAAAGAAAGCAGAAATCATTTTGGAAGGGATCGCCCCCGCCCTACCCGTGTGGCTCAGTGGATAGAGCGTCGGCCTGCGGACTGAAGGGTCCCAGGTTTGATCCCAGTCAGGGCACATGCCCGGGTGGCGGGCTCCATCCCCAGCGGGGGGCGTGCAGGGGGCAGCCGATCCATGATTCTCTCTCATCATGGATGTTTCTCTCTCCCTCCCTCTCTGAAATCAATAAAAATGTATTTTAAGAAAATTCTTAAACAAACAAACACAAAAGACAGTGCAATCCCCCTCCGTGGTGACGATCTCTTTTAAAACCATCACCTCACGAGGGATGCTGTTATGGTTTCTGATCAAGGTGAGGACAACAGGGTTCCCAGCCGCTGCTCTAAGTGCTGCTGTCCACGGAGGAAGCTGGGAGACACAGGGAGCCCACACCCTTCCCCTCCGAGTCCGGGAGCAGCGGCGGGTGGACACGGCTCTCGCCTGCTCCCAGGAGGGGCTCGGAGCAAACGTTCGCGGGCGTGTCGCACGGCCTCACCTGCCAGGCGGGCCGCGGCGCCCACAAGGATCTGAAAGGAGAACCGTGCCCATGAGGCAGAGAGACCGTGAGCACCAGACCAGGAGGACGAGTCGTCAGTGGCGTCTGCGCTGAGCACCCCCTGGAAGCTCGGGGGCACTTTCCGGAGGGTGGGCCGCAGTTCCGCGAGAGCCCGTGAACTTGGGGGCGAAGGGCTATGTCGTGTGCCCAAGAGGCCATTCTGCCCAAGCCGCCGGCCGCTCGGGCCTCCCTGTGACCACGGGCAATGCCCGCCGGACGCCGGGCACGATACAGAAAACCCCATCTGAGGAAGACGGGACCACCCAAAGTTTTAAAAACTCTAAATGCTGGGTTTGGTCCCATTTTTCTGTTCTGGTTACTGACCGACTTCACCCATTACATTCCCGGCCGGGCGCTGCGAGGGGACGGCGTCCTTACCCCCAATGCACACACAGCAGAGACACAGCGAGCTTCCTACTTGACACCCCGACATCTCAGGTGAAAACCCCACCTCTCAGTGGTCACCCCCAGACGCAGGCATCCCGCACGAGGGAAAGTGGGGGCAAGCGGGTGGCGAAACGATCAACGGCAGGCCGTCGAGGACAGCGGCGATCGATCGCCTGCGCAGAGAAACCACAGCCGGGTCCACGCGGAACCAGGGACACTGCGGGGCCCCTCGCTCGAGTCGCCTGGGCAGAGAAAACGCCAGTTTGCCCTGGTCCCACGGGCCCACCCCACGCACAGACATCCCTCCACAGAGAAATCCACGGTTAGGCTCAACATAAGTACCCGGTCGTCCCTATAACAGCGTCATATGTGTTCACTCTCAACGTTCGTAGCCACTAGACTTCAAAGCACAAGTTTCTCGTGGTTGTACAGAGCCGCCTGCAGTGTCCTCTCCTCCGTCTGCAGTTAACAGACTTACTGAGTTGTAAATACCGCCTCTGCATCTTCAGTGTTTACCTGGCTCTCCCCTGCCGACAGCCGTAAATTCCAAACCCTGCTCAACTGTGACTTAATCCTTTTTCTCCTACTGAAGATGCTCAGGACCGTTTTTATTTGTGTCACGCTCTTATTTTATTACAACCCTTTTGAGGCAAAAAGGCTGTGCCTGGACCCAAGATGCTGGAACCTGACTTAAAACGAAGCCACATAACCGCTCTGGAACCGTATTTAGGATGGCTAACCCCATTTCAAGACACCATGTCCCAACTCACATGTTCAATTTCTCCGCTTTCATACAGTGAACCTCAAACACAAGGCACACAGCCAACCAATTTCCAAATGAGCCTAGAAACATGAAATACTTGGGGTGAAAGAAAAGACCCAGTCCCCGGCCCGCAGGTTCCACCTCAGGCACGAATGTTTTCGGAAACGCAAGCAAAGAAAAATCCGACGCGGTGACGGGGCAGGAAGCATAGGATACCGCTGTTGCAACTTTGTGATTAACAAGTCTTTTATTGGTAGTAAACTAGAGCAATCAGAATAATACATATGCAGTTTCAGTACACACAATAAAAGTTAGAGAAATCCAAAACCTGTATAAAACAAAACACGGGGAACCATACATCTTCAGATCCAGTGGGAAGGGCCTCTCCGTCCTCACAGCTCGTACTCTGCACCCCGTAGAACTTAACCGCGTTCCCCAAATAAGAAATACAGACTTTAGAACCAAGTGTATGGAAGAGGGTTAAACACAGTGTCTAAGAATCCTGCAGTGACACGTAGGTGAGCCTTCAGCTGGCAAAAGCAACACGTCAGGGAGGAAAAGTGTAGGGAGGAAATTAACTAGTATTTTGTAACCATTTTAATAATTTCTCATTTCCCAAACACTGCTTTCATAACAGAAGTGTTTTACACTCGCACAGAATTAATGACTGTATCACACATGGAAGCCGTGAGGCTGGTTACACAATCAGACTGCAAACAAACAGTGGTACTTTCCTGACGTCAGCGGAGGATGTAAGACTGAGACATCCCCAAAAGTACATAAAAACTCATCAGCGCAAACACCCAAGTCCATTAAAAATACCATCAGGAGGAAAATACAATGGCTAAAAAGTGTTTCGGAGCACAGCCACTGCCGCCAGCAGCTGCGAATGGCAATCGGGCTGGGAGCTGGCTCGGTGACTGCGCCGGCCCCTGCACAATACTGACGGACGCCCTGTGCACCGTGCGACAAGGCTGCGGCTCCACCAAGAGGCTCTGAGGTCGCTACGAAAGGCAGGCCCACCCTCTCCCGTGAGCTATGGCACCGGCTGGAATCACACACCTTCGTCACCTCTCCAGCTCCGAGTGCGTGGGGCGTGATGACACATGAAAACCTAGGTGGGGTTCTTTTGTTGTTGTTGTTCGAGGTGGGGAGTGGCGGGTGTTCATCGTATTGTTTCGGGTTTGGATGCCAGAGGCATGTAAGATGCTCATTGGAATGTAACTCATTCTAAAGTTGAAACTGTCAAGACGAGGCCCAGAACTCTTAGGAAGAGCGGAGGGTCAGAAGAAAAAAACCAAAAACACGAGCACCCAGAAGCGCGGGTGACGCGTACCAGACAAGAGGACAGTGCCTCTCGGCTGCCAGAACAACAACACACACCCCCGTTTCAAACTGTGCCATTCCAGCGTGGGTCCCAACACTGGCCCCCGACTCGGGCTTCAGCACTGGCCAGACGTCAGCTGGCCGGCTCCTCGTGGAACCGCAGCCTGGTCACAGGTGGGGCAAGGAGAGGGTGCCTTTTAAAGATCACTTCTTCTTTCATTAAAGCTATCATCCCAGGCTTTGATCAAAGGTCCCAGAATCCGTCCTGCCCGGCTGGGGAGGACGTGGTCGGGAAGCTCAGGGCACAGTAAGAAGCCGCCACAGAACACGGGTCGCCCACATCTCGGAACTTCGCCTCAGCCCAGATGGAGAAGCAGTTTGAAATGTTTCGATCCCTTACTCAAACGATGAAATGTAAATCCTATCAGCCCAGACAGAGCAATTTGAAATGTTTCGATCCCTTACTGAAATGGTGAAACGTGTACCACACCACCTGTAAACTGGATATCCCATTACAGTGATAGCGTACAGAATTCCCATGCGTTATTACACTTTCCTGAGAGTAAAGCAATTAGAATAACCTTAATCCTAGCAACAAAGTTTTTTTGTTTTGTTTTTTTTTACATAGTTTTTTTTCTTTTTTTTTTCCTTCTTTTTTTCTTTTTTTTTTTTTGCATTTAAAACTTTTGGGCTATTCCCTGACGATCTATACATGTAAATTTGATTGCTAAACATTGTCACTTTGAATGTCAAACTATTTTTAATCTATTGATTTCGATTAAAAATCATAATAGAAACAGAGCTAAAATCACACTAACAAAATAAACTAAATATGAAAAGTTGCATTGAAAGGGCATTACATTATTCTTAAGAGGATCGTGTACAAACATTCCAATGGCAGTGTTCTCAGAACGAAACAGAAACCGCATCCTTCGACCGCCAGCCTGTCACCTGGGGGCTTACCTGTAGCTCTGGCTGGTGGGCGTCTTTACGCGTGTACTACACGGCTCACTTACATCAGACATCATGTCTGTGTACCCTGAGAAATCGGACACCGAAGTCCTGACTCTGTGGTCCACTTCGCCGTTCGAGTTACTGACAAAGGTCATTGGCACCCTGCTGCCCGACTTGAACTGAGAACCGAACGCCTGTGCAAAGTTCTCGATCTGGTACGTGGCTCGTGGCTCGATGTCCTTCGGAGGGTCCATCTGGCTCGCTAACTCCTGAGACGGCATCTGAAAGCTGGTGGAGGACTCCAAGTTTTTCTGCTGCTCCTTCTGGCTCGGCAGTTTCTGAGATGAGGACTGGAAGGCCGAGGAAGTCTCTAGGTTCTTCTGAGAGTCTATCAGATCGTCCAGCTCCTGGGAAGGGGTCAACTGCTGGTGGGTGGCATCCAGAGCAGACAGGTACAGACCCGGCTGCGATCCGAACAACATCCCAAAAGGAGGCTTTGGCAACGAAGATGGCAACACTGAGGTAACAGACTGGCCGAAACCACACTCCAAGGGAGACGTAGTGTAAATCTGTTTTTCCGGGAACAGCGTGTGGTTGTGGAGAGGTGAGGACAGACTGACGAACTGGAAACCGTGTCCGAGCGCGAAGCCCGCGTTGGTGGATTTCTCGAAGGCCTGCTGGAGGTATTTGGAGTACTCCTGCAACACCATCGCCTTGTCGCTGGAGGGGGTCTGGGCGCCGGGGCTCAGGCTCCCCTCCGGCACCAGTTCCGCGTGCTCTCCGGAGGCGTGCAAGTCCACGCGCGGCTCGGCGATGCTGAAGGGGTCCTCCTTCTGGCTCTCCGACTTGCTGGAGTACTGGTCCAAGATGCTCTGCAGGACCTCGTCAGGAATGCCGGACTTGTCGTGGCAGGACTTGATGTCCGCGTTCAGCGCGGAGGAGTCGATCAGCGACAGCGGGGCCTCGCTCTCCAGGACGCTGACCCCGGCGGCCTGGATGACGGACGGCTGGGAGACCATGTGGCCCACGTTGATCGAGAAGGCACTGTTGCTGGTGGCGGTGGGCAGGTATCTCCTCTTCTTGGAGAACTGCATGGCATCGTCGTAATTGCTGTTCATCGGGCCCTGCTTGCCGCCAGCGCTCTGGAGGAGGCCGAGGGTCTCCGTGCCGGCGCCCGCCGCGATGCCCAGGGAGCCGCCCGGCTTCCCCGACAAGGACTTCTGCCCCACGAGGTCCGGCAGCGGCGACACGAAGTTCAGGTAGTTTTTGTCTGTGTTCTTCCTGCTTCCTTTCTTGAAGATGAGTTTTGGCACCCTTTTCTGGAGCTCGTCGAGGCCGCCGCCCATCATGCCCCCGCCGGGCGACATGGAGGGCATCTCCACGGAGTAGGTCTGCAGGCCCAGGCTGTTGGCCAGCGGCGACTCGCCCGCCTTGCCCGCCTTATGCTCCTTGCCCTCGGCAGCGGCGGCAGCGGCGGCGGCGGCTGCGCTCTTGGCCTTGGACTTCCTCCTGGACGAGCTGCTGCCGCTGCTGCTGCTGCTGCTTCCCTGAGACAGCGCGGCCAGGCTGCCCATGGCGCCCGGGTTGGCCGCGGAGGCGGCGGCGCCGGGGGGCTCGGCGCCCGGGCCCCCCCGGGCTATGGCTTCGCCGCAGGTGCGCCGGTGCTTGAGCAGCCGGTCGGTCCGGGAGAAGAACTGCTGGCAGGTGTCGCACTTGTAGGGCTTCTCGCCGCTGTGCGTGCGCTTGTGCCGCTCCATGTGGTACTTCTGGATGAACTTCATGCTGCACTGGTCGCAGCCGAAGGGCTTCTCGCGGCTGTGGATCTTCTCGTGCCGCTGCAGCAGGTACTTCTGGATGAAGCCCATGTGGCACTGGCCGCACTGGAAGGGCCGCTCGCCCGTGTGGATGAGCACGTGCCGGCGCAGGTGGTAGGAGCTGCGGAAGGCCGCGCTGCAGTGGTCGCACACGTGGGGCTTCTGGCCGGGCGACAGCCCCGCGCCCTCCCCGCCCGAGCCCGCGGCGGCCGCTGGAGGCCGGGACGGGGCGCCGCCGCCGCCGCCGCCGCCGGGCTTCCTCTTGGCTTTGGTTCCCTGAGATTCTGGCTTTGGCCTCTTCGCCTTCTTGACGTGCGCGTCCTGCTTGGGCTCCTCGCCGCCGCCGCCGCCGCCGAGCAGGCCGTCGCGGGGGTGCGGGGCCGGCGGCGGCGGCGGGTGCAGGGCGCTCAGGTCCTGGATGACGCCGTGGCCGCCCCCCTCGCCGCCGCCGCCGCCCAGGCCCGGGCCGGCGCCCCGCTCCTCGGCGCCCGCGAACAGCCCCCCGAACGGGTGGTGCTGCGGCGGCTCGTCGGGCTCGGCCGGCTTCTCCTGCTTGATGCTGACCAGCGGCTGCAGGAAGCCCCACGGGGTCCGCGGCGCCGGGAAGGCCGCGCCCGAGGCCGCCGCCGGCTCCTTCTTGAAAGTCATGTCCGGGGCCGGCGGCGGGGGCGGCTCGGCCGGGGCCGCGGGGGGGGCGAGCACGCACTGCGGGGGAGGGGCGGCCGGGCCGGCCGGGCGGGCGAAGCTGGCGACCGGGGGCAGCCGGTGGTTGAACATGACCAGGCCCTGCGGGAAGCTGGGCTCCATCTCCGCCCGCCTGCCGCCGCCGCCGGAGCCGCCGGAGCCGCCGCTCAGGAACCCGCCGCCGACTCTCATGCCCCGGACGAGGCCTGGCTGCGGAGGGAGGGGGGACGGAGAGGCGGTGGGGCCGGGCCGCGGACCCCCCAAGCCCCAGCCCCGGCCCCGCCGCCGCCGCCGCCGCCGCCGCGCGCCCCGCCCGGCCCCCCGCCCTCCCGGCCCCGCCCGCCCCGCGCCGCCCCCGCCCGCACTTACGGTCCCGCCGCCGCCGCCGCGCCGCCGCCGCCGCCTCCGGTTAATAAAAATAACGCCGTCCTCTCCACAATGGAATTAAAAGCCTCCCCCGCACTGCGCAGGCGCGGCGCGGGGTCTGCTGGGAGCGGCCGGCCCGGCCCGAGGGGAGCGCTGCGCCCGACACTGCGCAGGCGCCGCAGCTTCCGCCCGGCCCGCCTGTCAATCACCGGGGCGGTTGGACGCAGGGGCGGCCCGGGGGTCTGCGGGGGGCGGGGCCTACGGGACCCTCCAACCACAGGCCTCCGCGGCCCGCGCGGCCTGATTGGTGGGCGGCGGTGAAGGACAGGCCTGTGCGGAAAGGCGCTCGCGAGGTGGACCCCCCACTCCCCCCTAGAGGGCGGGATGTCCGGCGGGCGGGGCCGCGGGGGAAACTGAGGCCTGCGCGGCGGGGGGCGCGCTCCCCTTCGCAGGATGCGATCCGGGGGCCGGATGCAAACGCGGGCCCTCCAGTGCCTCCCTCGGGGCACCGTGGGCCCCACCTGGAAGCCGCTCGAGCCCGGAGGCTCCGCATTTCGGAAGTCACATGGTGGGTGCCCTCGTGGCGCGACCTGTGCATTTGCAGGAAAAGCCTCCTGGGAAACCGCAGTAGCGGTCCCGGTGCAAAATGAAAACAGAAAAAAAGTTGTCTCGCTGCCAACCTGCCTGAAGGTGCAGGAAAGGGAGCCGGGCGGCCCGGGTGCGGCGGCCCGTAAACACGCCCACCGTGCGGTGCATCGGCAGCGGTTGCAAATCCCACACGTGCTGGGTCGGCCTGATGCCCCGGCCCGGCCGCCTGGCCGCCTGGCCCGGGGTGACTCGTGCAAAACTGACCTCCAGGCCCTTCCGAGATCTCCGCCAGGATCCACTCTGCCTTCCCCAGGAGAGCAGCACCCCGAGAAACGCGTGCAAAAAGTCACACCTTGAAATCAAAGCTCCATCAACAGAAACCCAACATCGGTGCCCCCTGCACACCAGGCACCCCCGTACCCCCGTCCCGGGAAGGATGCAAAGATCGAATCCCGTGACTTGCCCAACACACGGCATTTGCAAAAGCTAGAACGGTTGACAGGCATGTATTTGCATAGCATATTTTCTTAAATCACAGGCCCGTGGCCATTGCAGAATTCCCAGCTAAATAAATTCTCGTGATTCCATAACAGGCGACATTCCCTGAGAAATGTCACCATTGAAACCATAAAGATGACTCACGAATCCTCCTGGGCCTTCTCTTGAGTCTGCTCAAGGACTTGAAAGGCGGTATTTAAGGAGCATTTTGAGACAAGAAATATCCCCAGGCCCTGGCTGGTGTTGCTCAGTGGATAGACCCTCGGCCTGCGGACTGAAGGGTCCCGGGTTTGATTCCGGTCAAGGGCATGTACCTTGGTTGCAGGCACATCCCCAGCAGGGGGTGTGCAGGAGGCAGCTGATCGATGTTTCTCTCCCATCGATGTTTCTGACTCTATCTCCTCTCCCTTCCTCTCTGTAAAAAATCAATAAAATATATATTATATATATGTATATGTATTTGTATGTTTCTAACTCCCTGCAGCTACCCACCGGCCTTCTGCCACCGGAGCAGTGGAACTCGAATGCTACCGAGTAGAGTTCAGCGTTAAGAGGAAGACGGGAAATTCACAAACTTCAGGCCGCGGTAAAATATGAGTGGGTGCCCCTGAGGAATGAGGCTGCGGCTTTATCCCGGGTGTCAGTGTTTAATGGGGAGCTGGGATGCGGACAGGACAGGCCATCCGTGAAGGGCAGTGGGACGCCCGCGTGAAAAGCCAACTTGGTTCCTCCGTGATCAAGATAAGAAACCTGTCATTTCTCTCATTCACCGTGTCAGCCTTGAGCTCCCCGGAGCGGACTCACCTCGGGGTTGTACACTCCATCGATCAGGAAGATGGACAGACCCCGTAAACCGCCACGGAGGAGGGAAGCCGTTAACGCTAATCATTTCTGCCGCAGCAGCACCTGAGATACACTTTCCGGGGAACAGACAAAAGAAGACACACTCCATCAAGGTCGATTTAGTTTTCTATTTTTCAGCATTAGCGGCGGTGCCTTGAGCATTTATAACAGCGGTTCTCAACCTGTGGGTCGCGGCCCCTTTGGGGGTCGAACGACCCTTTCACGGGGGTCGCCTAAGACCATCGGAAAACACGTCTATAATTACATATTGTTTTGGGGATTCATCGCTATGCTTGAATGATGTTCCATGTGTCACAATGAAAATACATCCTGCATATCAGATATTTACATGACGATGCATAACAGTAGCAATATTACAGTGATGAAGTCGCAACGAAAATAATGTTATGGTTGGGTCACAACATGAGGAACTGTATTAAAGGGTCGAGCTATTAGGAAGGTTGAGAACCACTGATTTATAAGATAACGGGCCAGCCCACCTGCTTAAGAGTGGTGGTGTGGGGGGCGGGGGGGAGGGGGGGCAGGGGGTGCTATTCGGTTCCTTCGAATTAGAAAATTAAAATGCCAACCCCGGGCACACGGCATGTTAGTTAGAAAAACCAGCCTGCCAGTTTCTGGCAAGAGAGAGCCCGGGAATGAGAAAATTTTAAACTCGGAAAAGGTCATCAAAGTGATCCCAGAAAGACCTGGAAGCGTCAGAATTTCTAAGCGCTGTTTTCATCTCTGGCAATTAGAACAGATTTGTAACTGTCTTTAATGGGGTAAAAAAAAAAACCAATTTTTAAAAAAAAAAATATGAAAGTGTAAAACAGCTAAGAGAGTAAACTCAGGGTAATAAGGAGGAATCGTTTTTAAGTAATACTTAAAACACCAATTTAAGTGCAGATAGCATTTCATAACGTCGGCTGTCGTCAAACTGCCTACATTTTTTTTTTACTGTACCCTATGTATAAGAAGTGCCCCAAGTTTTCTACTTATTAGTTCTAAGCGTTAGAAAAGAATTACCTGTAAATGTAAAATAAATCTCACTCTGCCTATGAACCAGGAGGTCGCGGTTGGATTCCCGGTCGGGGCACGTGCCCAGGTTGCGGGCTCCATCCCCAGGGTGGGGCGTGCAGGAGGCAGCCGATCCGTGATTCTTTCTCATCATGGATGTTTCTCTCCCTCTCCCTTCCTCTCAAAAATCAATACAAAACATATGTTTTAAAAAAATAGAAACTTATCCCTGAAAGTTCTCACTGAGCTAGAAGTCCACCCACAGTGTCCACCCATCGTCTCAAAGTCTGGCTGACACCTAGTCGGTTATCAGGACATCGACTGTCCTCATCTTTCATAGTGCGCTACTCGCTGCCACAAGAGCCATCTTCTGTTAAGTGGTGATGCGTCCTTCCCTGGCAAGACAAAGAACAGGAAGGTGCCTGGGACGGGACCGGGACCTGGGACGTGACCTACTCGGGAATCAGAATGGTATCAACAAGGCTGATGGATATACTCACAGGCCTGGCTCCCCGAGAGAGTGCTGGCATTTACATAATCCTGTGTGGGCCTCGGGGAGGGAGGCGGGCGGAAGAGGGTTCGCTTTAGGCTGAGAATGGGGATGCTGAGGCTCTCAGGGTGCCCAGGTGAGCGGCCTGGCCCCTGAGAGAATGTTCCTTCCGACGCCGCCGCCTCAGACGGACACCTCCTGACTCTTCACGCACCGGCTTCCAGATCACGCGGCTCCAGAGGTCTCGGGAAGGCCAGGCTTGCAGGGAGCATTGCGCTTGGGTCAGCTCCTGGGGTCGGGGTCTCCATCCGCGTCCAGTAACCCTAGTTCTCTTCCGTCCTGCGAGGGCCACACAGGTACACGGACGGGGCACGGTCGATGGCTGGGTGCCTGCTGGGTCTTTTTTTTCTTCTTCTTTTAATCCTCACCTGAGGATCTTTTTCCATTGATTTTTAGAGGGAGTGGAAGAGAGCGGGAGAGACAGAGAAACATCGATGTGAGAGAGACACATCGATGGGTTGCCTCCTGCACGCACACCCCGACCAGGGCCTGGGCCGGGGAGGAGCCTGCAACCACATGCCCTTGACCGGAATTGAACCCGGGACCCTTCAGTCCGCAGGCCGAGGCTCTCCCCGCTGAGCCAAACCGGTGAGGGCCCCGTTGTGTCTCTTGTATGGTCCCCTCCCCTCAAATCCTCCAGCTGGTTGCTGGGAGACGTGCCTTCTCTCCCCCCAAAGACTGCTCGGGGACCGCGTCCTCCAGTAGCCTTGTCATGAGCCCCGTTTCCTGAACGGCTGTGTGCACTTGTTTATTTTTAAACCACGCTCCTGCCCTGCAGGCAGCCGGCGTGGCTCAGTGGTTGAGCATCGACCTCTGAACCTGGAGGTCAAGGTTCAATTCCTGATCAGGCCTCATGCCCAGGTTGCAGGCTCCATCCCCAATAGGGGGGCTTGTAGGAGGCAGCTGATCCATGGTTCTCTCTCATCATTGATATCTCTCTGTCTCTCTCCCTTCTTCTCTGAAATCAATAAAAATATTTAAAAAAGAAAAAAAGGTGTAGAAAGATACACAGGGAAGTGGTCACTGGTTTCCTGGTGGGAAGGCTGGGAGGGAGAGCAGGTGAGTCAGACCCAGGTGAGACAGCGGCAAACGATTCCCGGCAGGATCCACGCGAGAGGGGGGAGAGGCGGCCCCTGTAGCAGGTTGCCATGGAGACAGGAAACAGAACCTGCAGGAGGCCAGGACTACGTGTCAGATGGACACACGGAACCTCGATGTGACTTGGGGATAAGACGGGAGGGGTTTCCCTTCAGTCCTATGATTTTAATATGAAGACTACAGCCCTGGCTGGTGTGGCTCGGTGGATAGAGGGTCGGCCGGCGGGCTGAAGGGTCCCGGGTTCGATTCCAGGTGGGGGCACATGCCCAGGTTGTGGGCTCGATCCCCAGTGGGGGGCGTGCAGGAGGCAGCCAGTCAGTGATTCTCTCGCCTCATTGATGTTTTTGTCTCTCTCTCCCTCTCCCTTCTTCTCTGAAATCAATTAAAAAATATTCTTTTTTAAAAAAGAGACTACAATAAGTTGGAACATAAGAAGATGTAAATGCGTTTACTTAAAGTGAGTTGCAGCCCTCGCCGGTGTTGCTCAGTGGGTAGAGCGTTGGCCTGCGGACTGA